TCCTGTTTCTGGAGAACGTTCCAGCCCTAAATCCCATCCTGGCTCTGGAGAACCTCCTGGCTTTGGAGAACATTCCAGCCCTAAAACCCATCCTGGCTCTGGAGAACTTCTTGGCTTTGGAGAACCTCCCAGCCCTAAAACCCATCCTGGCTCTGGAGAACCTCCTGGCTTTGGAGAACATTCCAGCCCTAAAACCCATCCTGGCTCTGGAGAACCTCTTGGCTTTGGAGAACATTCCAGCCCTAAAACCCATCCTGGCTCTGGAGAACCTCCCAGCCCTAAAGCCCATCCTGGCTCTGGAGAACCTCCTGGCTTTGGAGAACATTCCAGCCCTAAAACGCATCCTGTTTCTGGAGAACGTTCCAGCTCTAAAACCCATCCTGGCTCTGGAGAACATTCCAGCCCCAAGACCCATTCTGGGCTCCGGAGCGTAAGGAAACACCAACAGCAGAGGGATTTAGGGAATGTGACTCTTTATTGGGCACAGCCTGGGCAGCACCAGCCCAGCCCTTGCCAGGCTCCGGAGGGCACCGGGGAGGCTTTGGGAGCCTCCGGGAGGTGGGAGGGAGCCGGTCCTGGTGTGGCGCTTGCTGCCGGAGCTGGGACGAGGCGAGGGCCTCGCTGTCACTTCATCTTCTGCTGGGGCATCTGCAGCACCTGCTGCTGCTGCTGCTGCTGCTGCTGGCCCTGCATCTGCGGCTTCCCGTGGCAGCCGCCACCACCGGAGCTGTGGCAGCCGCCACCACCGGAGCTGTGGCAGCCGCCACCACCGGAGCTGTGGCAGCCGCCACCTCCCGAGCTGTGGCAGCCGCCACCTCCCGAGCTGTGGCAGCCGCCGGAGCTGCCACCAGAGCTGTGGCAGCCCCCGGAGCTGCCCCCGGAGCTGTGGCAGCCGCCACCCCCCGAGCTGTGGCAGCCGCCGCTGCTCTGGCGCTGCTGCCGGTGGCACTGGTCCTTGTCCTGGCGGGAGCACATGGTGCTGTGCTGGGTGACCTGTGGGGACACAGCAGCTGGCAGGGGCCTTTCCTTCCTGCTCCTGCCCTTCCAAGCAGGAGGAATCCGGGTGTTCCTTTTCCCAGTCTCAGCCAGATCCTGTATTTCTGTTCAAAGCTTGCACTGGATCTTTTTCCCTCCTGGCATTGTCCTACCCAAGGTGTTGGGACACCCAGACCGTGCCTGGATTTCCAAAGCCAGACCCAGCACGCCAAACCCTCCCTCCACATCCCCACCTCTGCTCCCTCCTCACCCACCCCAGAACAAATCCCAGCCCCGTTCCAGGTGTGGGGATCCAAACTCACCCTCCCCACCTGAAGGTTCTGGAGCCCCCCAGCTCTTACCTGAGCTGCTCGTGCAGGAAGAGATGAGGAGATGAGGGAATGAGACTTTTGGGGACAGGAGCACTTTTATACCCTCTCTGCACACCCCACCTGGAGAAGCCCCTCCCTGTCCCACAGCTCTGCCCGTTCAATTAATTCGCGGGTGGCTTTTTTTTTTTTTTTTAATTTTTATGCCTCCCCATTCCTTGGGCTCCTGGGGTGACTCACCTGATCCACGCTGGGATTGCCTCCCCTTCTAGGTCGCCTTTCCTGTCCACAGAGCTTTAATTGCCGGCTCTGCCTGCGCGGGGCTGGGCTGGGGGAGCCGTGTGGGTGGCCCCGGTTTCCTCAGCTCCGGCTTGGTGTTGATCACACCCCGGGAGTGCTTTGGGTTCAGGGGGAGATGATGTCTCATCCCCAAACCACAACTTCCCTCCAGAATATCCTGAGGTTCCCTGGGCCTGCAACTCCCCTAAAAACCGAGATGGGCCTGGAAGTACCAAAAACAGCTTTGGGAAAGGAGAAAAGTCTGCTTTAGCAGGAATTCTCTCCATGCTGGGCACCCGTGGGGGAATGTCCAGTGCTGCGTCCAGCTCTGGGCCCGCATGGCAAGAGGGGCTGGAGCGGGTCCAGAGAAGGGAATGAAGCTGGGGAAGGAGCTGGAGAGCTCCTGAGGGAGCTGGGGGGGCCCAGTCTGGAGAAAAGGGGGCTCAGGGGAAATTTCTCCCTCTGCACAACTCCCTGACAGGAGCAGGTTGGAATCAAGAGGAATTTTTTCCTGGAAAGGGCAGCCAGGCCTTGGAATGGGTTTGGAGTCGCTGTCCTTGGAGGTGTCCAAGGAAGGCCTGGCCGTGACCCTCTGGGCTGGGGATAGGGCACAGCTTGGACTTGATGGCCCTGGGGGGCTTTTCCAACCTCAGGGATTTTGGGATTTGCCTGGAATCACCATTGGCTCATTCCTCTTAGAACTAATCAAAACACTGTGGGGCAATGAGGAAACTCCAACATTGCCATGAGGACCACAAGCATCTGGAATTCTTATTTTTGGAAGGAATAAGCCCTGCCCTGGGTAACAATCAAGGATTAGCAAGGTGCTTAATTATGTGGTTGAGTCTCAGCCTGGGAACAATTCCGGAGCAGCCGTGCCATGGTTTTATTCCAGGTGAGCAGCTCCGGTGCTGCCAGAGGAGGAGGAGGAGGAGGAAGAGGAGGAGGAGGAGGAAGAGGAAGAGGAGGGATCCCACAGGAGCCCTTGGCCACACACAGCTGTGGGCAACTGGCAGACCCCCAGGACTTTCTCCAGAGCTGCAGGAACATCCTTTTTGCATTCTCCGTGATCCCCAATTAGCTCTTAATTGGCCAGCAAATCCCGGAGCTGTTCCAACAGGAATGCTCATGAGAGGCAATAATTTGGGATACTCCCTGTACCTTTCTGCTGTGTGGGCTGGGAATTCTTTAGGATCGTGGAGCTTGTTTGGCTCTTTTCTGTCACTGCTTATGGAAGACATTGCAATCATTAAACAGGAAGCAAAAAAAAAGGCTAAAATCTGGATTTTCCCATTTCGGAGCTGCTGTGATTTTGTTGGTGTGAAAACGCTTGGAAAACCCTGGGTGGAAAATATTTCCCTTCCTCCCAAGCTCTCCTGCCTTTGACTTGTCTTTGTCCATGTTGATTTTATGGTGGCCACGGGGAGATGGACACTGAGTGGTTCCTGCCATCCAAAACCCATCCGCATTTGCTGCTACCCAAAACAGAGGATTTTGGGAAAGGTGGGAGGACAGGGCAGGTGAGGGAACCAGGTGAGCAACCTGAAGCTTCTTTTGTGTTGCTAAACTTCTGCCACGATCTAGAACAGTGTCAGGACAAACTGTGCCTGGGTTTGGTCGCTGCTCCTCAATTGAGTTTTGTTCTGGCCTCAGCAGAAATGTGGTCAATGACCTCTGGGAAAAAAAAAACACTCAAAGGAATTTTTGGCTGTGTTCGTTTCCTCATGTTTTAATTGCTCTGAGTTTGTTCACAGTGGGCGCTTCTACATTTTGTGGTTGGCCACCTTAATGTGCCTTGGAAATGGGTTTTGGATTGGGGGGCTCAGGGCAAACTCCAGACTGGGACAAGGAGCCCCCACGAGCCGCCCCTGCCCCAGAACCAGGGAGTGAGCTGCTGCCTGCACCCCTTTCAGCAATGCCAGAAATTTCTGATCCTCCTGACACACTCGAGAACAATCTTATCACGGTAACATCCATTTCATGAGCGGCAATACCAGAGCAATAAATTACCCAATTCGTTTTAATTACAAGCTGAGAAGAAATTTAGCAGCTCGTTGTGTAAGGATGGAGCGACGCCCCTGGCAGGGCAATGCAGAGCTCTGGCAGGGCTGGGCACAGCCTTTCTAGAAAGGCTTGCTGGGGGTTTGCCACCACCGCGTGGAGGTACCTCCCCCAGGGACGGCGTTTTGGGGCCAAACAGCAAAAAAAAAAAGGGGTTCTTTGTCTACAGGTTTTAATCCCTGCTCTGGAGCTGGCACCAGATAAAGCCAGGAATGATCTGGGTAAAAACCCCTAAAACCCCATCCTGGTCTGCCTCTCTGGCTCTGAAGAACGTTCCAGCCCTAAAACCCATCCTGGGCTGTGTCCCTGGCTCTGGAGAATGTTCCAGCCCTAAAACCCCATCCTGGGCTGTGTCCCTGGCTCTGAAGAACGTTCCAGCCCTAAAACTCATCCTGGGCTGTGTCCCTGGCTCTGGAGAATGTTCCAGCCCTAAAACTCATCCTGGGCTGTGTCCCTGGCTCTGGAGAATATTCCAGCCCTAAACCCCATCCTGGGCTGTGTCCCTGGCTCTGGAGAATGTTCCAGCCCTAAACACCCATCCTGGGCTGTGTCCCTGGCTCTGAAGAACGTTCCAGCCCTAAAACCCATCCTGGGCTGTGTCCCTGGCTCTGGAGAATATTCCAGCCCAAAAACCCCATCCTGGGCTGCGTCCCTGGCTCTGGAGAATGTTCCAGCCCTAAAACTCATCCTGGGCTGTGTCCCTGGCTCTGGAGAATATTCCAGCCCAGAAACCCCATCCCGGGCTGCCTCTCTGGCTCTGGAGAATGTTCCAGCTCTAAAACCCATCCTGGGCTGTGTCCCTGGCTCTGGAGAATATTCCAGCCCTAAAACCCCATCCTGGGCTGTGTCCCTGGCTCTGGAGAATATTCCAGCCCAAAAACCCCATCCCGGGCTGCCTCTCTGTCTCTGGAGAACGTTCCAGCTCTAAAACCCATCCTGGGCTGTGTCCCTGGCTCTGGAGAATGTTCCAGCCCTAAAACCCCATCCTGGCTCTGGAGAACCTCCCAGCCCTAAATCCCATCCTGGCTCTGGAGAACATCCCAGGTTTTTTGGCTCAAAACCTCTCGGAAATGATGGATTATGGCAGCTCAAATGTAGTCACAGACTGATCCGGACACAGCCGTGCCAGCGTGAGCAAAGCCTTTATTTCAGCACCCACAGAGCAGCTCAGGACAGGTTACAGGACACACCAGGGGAGGGGGAGGACACGTTGTCCTTGGAAATTGCTGGACACATGCAAAGCTTTCCAAACGTGCATCCAGGGCGTTCCTGTGGATCACCGGCAGCTGGTGGGGTGATCAGTTTTCTTTTGAGGATCCAAGGTAGGTGTTGCAGGAGACACCTCCAGAGACGGATCCTGTATTGGTCCCATGGAATCCGGATCCACTGCTCCCATGGCTGCCAGATATGTTCCCGTGGCTAGTGCATCCACCACTGCTCGTGTGGCTATTGGATCCTCCACTGCTTGCTTGGCTACTGGATCCGCCACCGGCTCCACCACTGCCCCCAGAGCAACGGGATTCTACGTGGTAGGACCGTTCCACATCCTTGCCCTGGCGGCGGAAGGGCATGGTTGGAGACCTGCTGGGAAAACTCATCCGTGAGTGAAGGCAATGAGCAGGGACACTGCACGGCTGCGTTGGATGGGACTTGGAGCACCCTGGGATGTGCTGCTGGCGGGGGAGGGGGGAGGTGTCCCTAAAATCTGATTTTAAGGTCCCTTCTAACCCAACCCTTTCCATGATTCCATAATTCCATCATTCCGCAGTTCTAAGCCAAGTTCTTGGGCGGGAGAAGAGTTACCACTGCACGTCTGCCTGTGGTGGCCTTTTGGGGCAAGCCTTGGTCTTGTCAGAGAGAAGTGAAAAGAGAAAAGCTGGACAGACTCCAGAGCAAGACACGCACAGCCCTCGGCCACCTGAGCCAGGAATTTTTTACGTTTTCCTACTCGGCAGAAGGACTGAGATGGAGACAGGAGGTGGAAGAGAAGTGCCCAAGAGCTCAGGATTGGGGAGAAGCCGGAGAACTTTGGAAGAGCAAAAATCAGATGGGTCTGGACTCACCTGGATCAGGAGCTCGAGAGGAGACGCTGAGGAGATGATGAGGAGAAACAAATGAGACGAGATGCTGAGGAGAAGCGGGGAGCGAGGGCTTTTAAATGTGAATTGGACTTCTCTAGAAATGGGAGGGACCTGCTTGCTCAGCACCAGCGCACTTGGCTAAAGAACAGAGGATTTGGCTAATTAAAAGTTCCCCCCTCCACTGAGCAAATCAATATCCTAACATCCCTGTTGTTACTCCATAAAAATGTTCATTGTTCACCACGCCTGGGCTCCTGGGCAGGGCTGGGAGAGTTTGGGATGTTTTTTGCCACCTTTGATTGTGGCATTTACCTGTTCCTTGTGCCCAAATTCTGAATTGAGATGGGACGGATAAAAGGTGGGAAGGTGGGGCTGCAAAGGAAACTCAGAAATAAAAGAGAAAGAGAGCAAAAAAGGCTGTGGTGGTGAGTAGTAAAAAAATAAACATAATTGGTCAGGGCATAGCATCAAAGAAACACCAAAAATTCTGAATAAAGTCAGCAAAGAAGCACTAAAAGCAGTGTTGGGATTTTTCAAGCCATTCATTTCTTTACTTAAATGTTTTCAACCCAAACAGAAGGAATTTAAAGCCCCATAGGATGTGGAAAACGTCCTGGTAGGAGTGAGAGGACATTAGGATCTGTGTCTTCAATGCTCTGCTTTGGGGACAAAAGTGTCTTTCTGTCCAGGCCTGATCTCCTGCAGGGCTCTAGAGACCACTGTGAAATTAAAAAAAACCCCAAAAACCGGATTGAATGAAAATAAAACACAGGGTCCAGGAGACTCCTCGGTCCCTGATTCACTGGACCTGATAGATGAGGAAATCCGATTTCACAAACACTGGGGAAATGGAAATCCTTGTGAAGCTCGTTATTCATGATTAATTACAGACTTGATTCCGTGGATGGGGATAAACGTGTTCCATTGTTCATCTCAGGGATGGAGACAAACACCTGAGCAGGGCCCGGGGGCACCTGGGCCCATGAAGGGGCAGGACTGTGCTCACCCTACAGTGGTCTCTGCATCCCTTACAAAGCTCCTGCTCCTTGGAGAGGCATCCCTGGATCCACGGGGACCGTTCTGAGCAAGAAATGTTTTTTTTGGGGTAATTTGTTGGATTTTTGAGGGAATTGCCTTTGCAGAGTTTGGCGAGGGAGGCTTGGGGCGGTGTCAATCTCCACCCCGAAAACCCCCGTCCTACACCTGCTTTGGCTTCTTTCCCTTTTCCTGCAGCAGAAATCCCCACCTGTGACGCTGGGAAAGTGGCTGATGGTGCCAGGAGGGGATGGAGGCCCTCGCCCGGGCTGGGGAGGTGCCAGGAACTCCGGGCACGCGGTGCCGTGACTCACAGCGGCTCCCAGAAATCCTCCTGGGGTCTCCTCTCCCAACCCTACCAGACCCTACCAGGAGTGTGGGGCCTTTCAGCCTGTTAGAGCCATTCCCAAATCCTCTTCCTGCCTTTTTTCCCCAGGGCTTTTTTTGGAGGTTTTTGGTGACAATCCAGCTGCAGCCGTGGGCTTGCGGTCCCAAACTGACGCCTCTGCTTTCTTCCTCTCTGGTGAAATGTGGATTTTTCTTACACAACCTTATTAATATTTAATTACCTCCTTGCATAAACAGCCCGTGATGAAAACTGTTACTTTACCAAGCAGGAAACTGCCTGACGTGGGAATGAGGAGCCACCAGGTGGAACCAACCCGGAGTCTCCTGGTGAGGGCGGGTGAGGCCGCTGCAAGCCCAGCTTTGGCCACCAGAAGGACCAGGAGCCACTCAGACGGATGAGGAGATAAAAACACGGATGCCAGGAGGGTTTGAGCCAACATTTTTTATTGCCTCCACGTCTGCTGTGAAATGAAGAGCATTTTAAATTTCACAGCATCAGCGGGTCACGACTTGGGAGCGCGTTACAAGCAGGGGGACAGAGCAGAGATCGGTGACGACGCAGGACATGGCTGGGGGGGAACAGGGACAAGTTCCCTTTGCTTCCCCTCACTCCTCACGTCCTTTATTTCATCTTCCGAGCTGGCACTTTGCAGATCTGCTTCTGCTGCTGGCGGGGGATGCCCTTGGCCACGGGCACACAGCCCTGCTGGATCGGAGGGGGACGGGGACAGGGACAGGTCTGCACTGGGATGCTCTGCACTGGTGGGGGACAGCACTGCACTGGTGGGGGACAGCACTGCACTGGTGGGGGGCAGCTCTGCACTGGTGGGGGACAGCTTTGCACTGGGATTCTCTGCACTGGTTGGGGACAGCTCTGCACTGGTTGGGGACAGCACTGCACTGGTGGGGGGCAGCTTTGCACTGGGATTCTCTGCACTGGTGGGGGACAGCTCTGCACTGGTGGGGGACAGCTCTGCACTGGGACGCTCTGCGTGGCCGTCCCACAGCATGGCTTCCCGCCCTGGGCCACTGATCCCTGGCACCTCTCGGAGCACACGGACCTCCCGTAGCCCTGGCACCCCCCCGAGCCCCCATAGCTGTACGTGGGTCTCCTGACGCAGCTGCCACCCCCTCCGTGGCACGAGCCCGAGGAACCCTGGCACCTCTCGGAGCACACGGACCTCCCGTAGCCCTGGCAGCCCCCCGAGCCCCCGTAGCTGTACGTGGGTCTCCTGACGCAGCTGCCACCCCCTCCGTGGCACGAGCCCGAGGAGCCGGCGTAGCCGTGGCAGCGCTCGGCGCAGCGGGGCTGCCGGTAGCCGTAGTGGCGGTAGTCGTGGCCCCTCATGCCCTCCGCGCCCTCGCCGTGGCAGCCCGAGGAGCAGCACGTGGCGTAGCCGTAGCGGAAGGGCGTGCGCCGCGTGTCCAGCCAGGAGCCCGAGGGATCGTACCAGGTGGAGTTGAGGTTGAAGTAGGATTCTCTTCCGGAGGAGTAAATCATGTTGGGGCTGTGGGGAGAAACCTGGAAAAGAGATGGGTTGGTGTCAGCATCTCCTCTGATCGATTTAATTTCCTGTGGGGTTTATCTTGAGGGCCTGGATCTGGAGGAAATTCCTGCGGTTGCCCAAGGCTGGTTAGATTGCATCCAAATTGCATCCAAACCCTCCTTCTCACCTTCCCTTTCCGATTTTTCACCTCCAAGAACAAAACCAACTGCAAGGCACCACCACATGTGGCAGCACCGCTGTAAATCCCACCCCCGGGTCCCTCAAGAGCTTCTCCAGTGGCAGAGCGTGGTCTGAAGGTCCAGGTGTGACCTCCCAAATCCAAACCCCCATCCAAGAAGGGATGAGCCTCACCAGGTCTCAAATGAAGCCAGGCGCTGCCCAGGGGAGCAGAATGTGAGAGGCCAAGGGGCCGAGGGCTTTTATAGAGCTCTGAATGTTCCCCTGAAGGTGAAACACACGGCAGGAACGAGGATTAAATTATTTATTGGCAAAACATCTCCGCCATTTGGATGCTGTTCCCGGCGCCTGGCATGTTGTGCTTGACTCACCATTTCTGATAAGCATCTTTTAATTATAACATCGGTCCCCAGCGGGGCACATAAAAGTCTGAGATGGCCTAAGCCCCACTTTGGCTGGGTGAGACAGGCAATAAAGGACTTATTCACCCTCTGCAGGGGTGACCTGTGAGTCAGGAGCGGTGATGGCACCGCTCTGACCCTCCCCTCCTGCTGCCCGTGAGGAGCATCTCCAGCTGAAGCACGAGCAGGTGATGGGAAGAGCCAGCTCAGAGTCACCAAAAGCAAATTGTGCCCGTCGGTTTCCGTGATCAAGGGCTTGGCTCTGGGCACGAGGGAGCGAGGGCGGGCAGGGCCTGACACGGCTTTTCCAGGGAATTTCTGGCTGCCTCATTCCTGGAAGTGTCCAAGGCCAGGCTGGCCAGGGCTGGGATGGTGGAAGGTGTCCATGAGAGTTGCAGTGAGATGATCCCTAAGGTCCCTCCCAACCCAAACCATTCCGTGATTGTTTCTCCTCCATTTCTGCATTCCAAACTTGCCTTTCCCCTCACCCCCAAATTGGTTTTTTAAGGTCCTTTCCAACCCAACTCATTCCATGATTCTGTTTCTCCATTTCTGCATTCCAAACTTGCCTTTCCCCTCACCCCCAAGTTGGTTTTTTGAGGTCCTTTTCAACCCAACTCATTCCATGATTCTGTTTCTCCTCCATTTCTGCATTCCAAACTTGCTTTTCCCCTCACCCCCAAGTTGGTTTTTGAGTTTCCTCCCAACCCAAACCATTCCACAATTCCATGGTTCTGCCCCAACTTCTGCAAGGTTTTTGGCGCAGTCTCCGACAGCAGCCTCGGGGTTAAACTGGTGGAGACTTGGACTGGGTGGATGAAAAAGGAGCTGATTCTGGTGCTGGTGATGTTTAACACCTTTATTAAAACCCTGAATTATGTGATGGACTTGGAAAATCCTCAAATTGGGGTGTGGGGCTGGAATTCTGAAGGAACAGGTCCGTGTCTGGGATGGGGTAACTGGGATGGGGTAACTGGGATGGGTAACTGGGATGGGGTAACTGGGATGGGGTAACTGGGATGGGGTAACTGGGATGGGGTAACTGGGATGGGGTAACTGGGATGGGTAACTGGGATGGGAGGGCTGGTGAAAAGCAGCTCGGAAGAGAAACTGGACCAAATCAGACCTGGAAGCGAGGGCTGAGCTGGCCCTTGGTCTGTGGGCCCTGAGTCACCGTGCTGGGAACTGGGAAAAGGTCGGGAAGAAAATGCCTAATAAAAAAAGGTTTCTGCCTGAAGGTAAATTCCACAGGTAAGTGGGTTTTTTTTATTTATCTAGTGATTTTTTATTTGGCTAGAATTAGACACGAGAGAAATAAATTGTTGTGGTGAAGAAAACGAGGATTGAATTTCCTTTTTTTCCTTCCCAGCTCTCAGCGGTGGCTGTGTGAGGACACGCCCGGGCGATGCCGAGACAACACAAAGAAATTAAATTATTTCTTTTCATGCACTTTGCGGGAGGCTTTTCGGGCAAAGTGAGGAGAAGGAGCAGGTTATCCGTGTGCCTGCACCTTCCTGCAGGAGCGAAAAGGCATCCCCGGCATGCACAGCCACCCCTCCCGTGCCGGGCCACGCGCTCATTATCATAATTAACATGTAAATGAGGATGCCCTCCCCGTGCCCTGCTTCCATCCAGGGGATGAAGGTGCTGGCCCGGCCGCAGAGCAGATGTTGGTGCCTGGATCTGCCCATCCCGAGCTCCCGGGGTGGGTAAATCCCGGTGGGGAGGATTTTCCAGCTCCCAGCCTGGAGAAATCCCTGCGGGCAGAGCTGAAACCCTCCCGTGTGAGCCCTGACTGATTTAAGTGTACGAATTTCCTCGCCGGGGTTTTAATGGCTTTCGACATCTTCTCGTTGTAATGTCGGTGATGCTTGCGGGGGCAAGAAAGAGAGGAACCGATGGTTTGCTAAACATTTTTCAACTTTATTCTTGAATACAGGGGGAGGAGATAAAGTTGCAGGAGTCCGTGGTGCTCCTGGCCGTCACAGTGGCTCCTTTTTTCCTCGTAAAGACCCGGAGCTGCTTCCAAACAACCGTGAAAGCACAGCCCGGTGAAGCCCGGGGGAGCAGATCCCTCTGCTGCTGCCCAGGGAGAGCCAAAGCCCGGCAGGGGAGGACACCCCGAGTTTAAAGTGTCGGTGCTGGGGCCAAGCAGGGGATGGCAGACCCCAAATCTGATGTGCAAAGAGCAGCAGCCAGCCCGGAGCGGCGCTGGGAGCATCCCTGGGGCCCGGGGGGGCGAATCCCCCCGAGCGGGCAGGAGCTGGGGAGGGGTCCCCGGGCTCAGTTCTTCACGCAGAGCGGCACCAGCGTGACCTGCTTGTGCTGCTGGTGCTGGCCGGGCTGCGGTGGCAGGGGGCCGGCGGGGCAGCAGCGCTGGGCGGGCCGGGGGCAGCAGGGCACGGGCCGGGGGCAGCCGGGCACGGGCCGGGGGCAGCCGGGCACGGGCCGGGGGCAGCGCTGGATGCAGGGGCAGCGATGCTGCAGCGGCAGCGGCTGCAGGACCACCGGGGGCTCCTCATCCTGCTCGGGGCACTGCTCCAGCCGCCGGCGGGGCTTCCCGCAGGAGTCGCGCTCCGGGCACGGCGGGCACGGGCGGTGCTGCTCCAGCGGCCGGCGGCGGATCTTCACGGGCGGGGGGCACACGGGGGGCACCGGGCTCACCTCCACCCGCCGCCGGGGCTTGCAGCTCGGCGGGGCTGGGCAGCAGGAGGGCCGGGGCGGGCACAGATCGCCGGGCTGGCAGCCCCGGGGCGGGCTCTGGCTGGAGCCCTCGGTGTCGTGGCTGAGGCTGCCGGGGTTGGGGCAGATCTCGGGGGGGTTGGGGCAGATCTCGGGGGGCTTGGGGCAGATCTCGGGGGGGTTGGGGCAGATCTCGGGGGTGTCGTGGCTGCCGTGGCCGCAGCCCGAGCGGTGCTGGCACAGGTCGTGGTCGGTGCCGCCTTTGTGGTGCAGCATCCTAGGACAGAGATCACAGAAGCGGGAAGTTATCGAGGGTGGGAAAGAATTCCAGGGTCATCCAGTCCAGCCTGTGATCAACCAACATCGCCCAGCCCAGAGCACCGAGTGCCACGTCCAGGAATTCCTTGGGCACCTCCAGGGATGGGCACTCCAAGCCTCCCTGGGCAGCCCCTGCCAAGCCCTGACCGCCCTTTCCAGGAGGAAATTCCTCCCGAGTCCAACCCGAAACTGCTTCTCTCCTGTTCCCTGGGAGCAGAGCCCGACCCCCGCTGCTGTCCCCTCCTGTCAGGAGCTGTGCAGAGCCCCAAATTCCCCCTGAACCTCCTTTTCTCCAAGCTGAGCCCCCCAATTCCCTCGGGAGCTGCTTCTCCCATGACTCACAAATCCTTTGAGGGTGACCAAGCCCTTGGGCATAAACAACCTTGGAAACAGCAAAGAAAACACCGACGCCTTTTTTTTCTTCTTCTTCTTTTTTTTTTTTTTTTTTTTTTTCCTTTTTTGCTATTTCCAATGGGAAGCGGGGGAATCTGAGAGAAACCAACTCACCCTGCGAGCAGAAACGGACGGGCTGAGCAGGGAGTCGAGTCCTGAGGACAGAGCTGGGGCTGAAAGCTTTTATACGCGGCCGAGCTCTCCTGGGAATGAGGCACGTCCTGGGAATGAATAGCTGAGCACTGAGGCCGCTGCCGTGTGTGTGTGTGTGTGTGTGTGTGTGTGTTTTTTGTTCCTGGAACTCGCTGTCGGGTTAATCAGCCACAATTAGCGCCTGGCCCGGTGTGGCCAGCGCTCTGCAGAGGCAGTGCCCATTATCCCATTAGTTCTGGCCCTGCTCGGATGGGCTCCTGGCTCGGGTTAGTCACACGGATCCCGGGCGCGGATACCTGGGATGCCGCGGTGCTGAGTGATGCGCCCAGCAGGGGACTCGGGTGGCGGTGGGAAAACCACAGGGAGGTCCAGGAGTCCTCCAGAGGAAGAGGAAGGAATCCAGGGTGGCCCCAGCACCGCGAGGAGCGGCGGGTGCTGCTCCTGTGGGTGACTGGGAGATGGGAATCCGGGATCCCTACGGGCACCGGGCACGGGGGGACAGTGGCAGGCTGGGCATGGGGCGTTTGGAGCTTTATTCCCTGATTTAAATGGGTTTAATTCGCTCCCAAGTGCGGAGCATCTTGGCTACAGCGCGGAAAAGCCTTTTATGTGTGGAAAGTCTGGAATGGGGACACCAGAGGAGCGATGACCTCACACAGAAACAATTCCAGGCTCTGCCAAGCGCCCTGTCCACCTTTCTGGCATTTTTGCTTTGATTCACACTCCGTGGAGCTGCTCCGTTTTGCATTTCTGTGGCCGAGACATTTTTTAAGTACCAGGAAAATTCCTCTCCCAGGAACCCCCCGGGGCTCCGAAGGCATTTCCATGTGGAGTAAGGGATGCTCAGAGCTCCGTCCAGTGGAATTTGGGTTTGAATCACTGGGAAAAGCATCCGCAGAATTCGGGGGTGTGGCTCCACGGCTGTGCTGGCACCTGACAGGGCTCTGCTGTAATTTATTCCAGAGCTACAGGAGAAGTGGAATTGCCTGGCAGGAAGCCATGGGATTTGTGCAGAAAGGTGAAAAAGACCTCGGGATCTGTTAGGGCCAAACAGGATTTTACATTTAGAACTCATTGCCAGAGTCCCAAGTTTCTGCTGGATTTGGATTTTTTTTTCAATTTTAGAGAAGTTTTGGAGCCACTTCCCTTCCCGAGGATTTCACAAATCCCCAAGTGTGAATATTGAATTTCGGATCTGGTCTCTTAAAGTTTCCCACATTTTAATAGAACCCAGAAAAAATGGCTCAGTGTTTCTGGATCCTTCAGGCTGCACCTAAATCTCATCAGCCTGGGCTAGTGGGAGGTGTCCCTGTCCACAGCAGGGGATGGCACTGGACGAGCTTTAAAGTCCCTTCCAACCTGAACCATCCTATTTAATAAATATTTAATTGATCTATAATCAAGATTTAATTGGTTGATTTAATCAATTTAAGAACCCTCCTTTAAAGCTCAGCAAATTCTCTGGGAAGATTCAAATTAGGAAAAAGAGACCTCCAGCTCTGGCTTTAGGACCACAGAGATGCTTTGGCTGTGAACTGGATCTCAAATCAGCAGGAGAAAGATGGAATTAAACTGATGCTCCTCCTGCTGAGGTGACATTTTTCACTTGCAAGTCCCGTTTTCCCCCAGGTGAGCATCGGCCCAAGGAGTTCACCAGGTACACCGGGCGTTGTTGTCATGGAATGCCAAACATGCAAAATTAATTACATTAATCAATTAGGCAAATGCTAAACACATCCCACACTACTGTTCAAGGGATAAAGAGAAATGAATAAACATAACCCAGTAGTTTGCAGGATCAGAAGTTATAAATTTTATTGGCTTTCATGGCTAATTGGGGATTAAAGAAAGAGAAGGGAGAAGGAGACAGCACCGAACATCCCATCACCAAGAGGGGAAGGAAGAGCAGCGCCAGAAACTCGCTGGGCAGCGGCTCCAGGGCGCAGCCAAGCACCTGGGCACTAAAGGCAGCAAAAAGAGAAGTTCTCAGCGTCCAAGCACAGCAGGAAGAGCGTCTGGGCTGGGATCCACGTCCACATCCACGTCCACATCCGTGTCCGAGCCGGGCACCGCCGGGCGAGCTCAGTTGCCGCCGCAGCAGCCGCCGCAGCAGCCGCCGTTGTTGTTGCTGCTGATGGTGTAGCAGCAGGACGTGGGCATGCAGCAGGACTGCATGGGCATGCAGCAGGGGCTGCAGCACTGCATGGGGCTGCAGCACATGGGGGTCTTGCAGCAGCGGGGGCTGCTGTAGCAGCACACGGTGTAGTTATTCCCGCCGCCGCATCCGCAGCATCCGTTGGGCATCTTGGGGGTGGTGGGAGCTGGAAGGAGCAGAGAGAGGCTGTGAGGGGGAGCAGCAGGTTTGGGAGCAGGGGTGAATTTGAGGCTCTGGTCATTCATTTCCTGCTGGGGCTTCAAGGAGGCCAAGCCCAGGCGTGTGCTGTTTGGAAATTGTGCCCGCAGCTCTGGGTTTTTCCCGTGGTGCAGGTGCCCAGCGACTCATTCTGGTGTCTCAGAAAGAGCAGCCCAGCACTGAGCTCTCACTCTGGGCCTTTCCGGAATATTCTCCATGCCCCTCCCCTGCCTGGCCCAGCTGATACCCCCAGAGCCTCCCCAGACATTTCCAGGTCATTCCCGGAACTCCTCGTGCAGAGTTTGTAAAACCCCGACGCCCGAGCCCCATCCCAGATTCCCAGCAATGCCTGTATCTGCTATAAGACATCCAAAATTCCATTTTGGGAGTTGAAGGAAGAATCAGAAGTTCTCACTTACCCTGCTGAAGAGTGAGGAGAGCTGAAGGAGGAGAAGACGAGCGAATGAAGCGAGCTGGGCCCGGAGCCCTTTTATAGTCCCAGCCATCCTTCCTCCTGGAAGTGAGACAGCCATTGACCATTCCAGCTTCCCTGTTTATCCATCCAAACCCATATTTTTTAGCCATAGGTGTCTCCTGGAATTTGCATTTTGCCTCATTACCGGCGATCACCACGCTTGTTCTGCCTCGTCACGGTTTAGCCTGGAGATAATCAAAGGGCTGCCATGAATTTGGATGAATTTGTCCTCCCCACAACCTTGCGAGGGAGCCAAAAAATGTGGCCTCGTATCTGCTGGATGGAGATGTTCCGGGCCTGACTCAGCAGCAGCTGGTGCTGAATCAGTGCGGGAGCCCCGGAATCGTGCCGGTCGTTCCGTCGGGATGGCGTTTGGGACAAATTGGGAAAACATCAGGAAAATGGGGGTGTTTGTTCCTGGTCACTGGACGTGCACGTGAGGAGGTGAAATAGTATTTTACAGGGTAAATGTAACAGAATAGAAACCCATTGAGATTTAAGTGAAATGTGCTGCTTTGGATTATTATTATGCTAGCATAGGTAAAATGTGATGGTTAGTCTCTAGCTCTGTGCTCTTGTAGAAACTGTGTCAGCTGAGGAGAAAAAATGCAAATTTCCAAGCTGAAGAGATAAGAGAGGCACCTTAAGCTTTGAAATGAAAAGAAAAAAATCCAAAGCTGAGTCTGCAAAAGATGAGCAAAGTGACCAGAGAGTTCTCGGTACAAGGACTTCTCTCTGTACAAGGACTAATTGCAAGCTATGATGTGAAAGCAGTGAAATGAATATTCATGAACCTATTGTGAAATTCTATGCATATGCACTAGAAGAAAAAATAAAAAACCATCAAGAATTCTCAGGGGGGCACATGTCCTTTAAAAGGGGAACAGTGCTGCAATAAACATTCTGGCTTTACAACTTTTACAAAGTTGTGGAGTTTGATTTATTTTTCTGCAATTCAGAGGGAGCAAGGGGTCTTTGGGATGTCTGGGGCTCAGTCTCCTGCATGTGACTCCGTACAAATCCGTTGTGGAATGGTTTGGGTTGAAAAGGACCTTAAAGATCATCCAATTCCACCCCACAGCCATGGGTAGGGACACGTCCAGGCTGCTCAGAGCTCCATCCAGCCTGTCCTTGGACACTTCCAGGTTTGGGAAGTTCTCGCTTTATTTATTAACTTTTATTCCTAGTAGTATTTTTATTAATATTTAAGTTCAAAGGTTAAGGGGCAGCTCTGCCTGTGCAAGAGGCAGCACAAGGGACGGTGGCTTCAGGACTGGGTGTGGGGCACCCAAATCAACATTTCCCTCTGCAGCCTCCCCTGGATCCAGCTGAAGTCCAGCTGGGTCCTGGAATCCTGGCCCTGAGCAGGGGCGGAGGGTTTGGAGTTGGTGCAGGACCCTCTGAGGGTGTTGGAAGGGGAGGGAGCCCAGAATAAACCAAAAGTGAGGAGATTGAGGTGGAAGAGAAGGGCCCAGCACAGAAACTGCTCCTCACCGGACTGGTGGAGCTGAATGAGAGGCTGGGACTCAGGAGACTTTGTTGAGGTGAAAAAAATTTTCTGTGAGGGAGAGAGGAAGGGAGGGACATCAAGGTAAGGCAGAGCCTTGGGCAGCGGAACCCTGGCAGGAGCACCGGGGAGGAATTTTGGGAGGAATTTTTTCACGGGTGTGAAATTGCAGCTCTCAGTTGAAGACCTCGCCACATTATCTTGAAAGCTGCCTAATGAGAGGATGGTGGATCCTGCCTGGCCAGTTCCCTGCTCCTGCCTGACATCCCCAGGGATCCCAGGGCTGCTCAGGAGAGGGGTCGGCCCAGGTGAGCTGGGGCCAGCCCCGAGGACGGTGACAAGGACCTTGTTTTGTTCTCTGTGCAGTGCAAAGGGGAGCAGACGGAGATTTTAGAGCTGTTTCACCCCTGCAGGAAATGCCAACAGCTCCTTTCCAGGCTTCCCTGGCATGAGAGCAATTCCTGGAGTGGAACACGGGAGAAGAAACGCGGTAATTGTGGCTTCTCCGCGAAGAGCAGGAGAACATGCACGGCATTTCCTTCCTGGTGGGAGAGACAAATGCACCTGGACAGATCCATTTATTAATTTATTAATTTACAAGAATGAACGGGGCAGAAGCAAAGGGACACACTCCACTTGTTCCTCCTGAGGGAAATTTTCCATGGCAGCTGTGAGAAGGGAGGTCGAGGTGGGCGTTTCCCACCCTGGATGGTCGTGTCCAGCTCTTGGTGGAACCAAGGTACCCAAATCATCTTTGGGGAGTGGGATGTGGATCAATGCAAACAAGGGACTGAAGCAGGGGGGAAACAGAGTCAGAAAATGGCATAAAATGCATCAAAAGGGTGGCAGTGCAGAACTTCCGTGTTTTGGTGCTATCCCAACCCACCCTCGAAGGCAGCAGAGGTTTCTCAGCATTTGTTTTACAACTTCAGTTCAGTGTCTGGCAACTCAGATGGCAGAGGAAGAACCTCCATGTCCTGAGTGTCAGACGGTCTGCAGGGACTGGCTGTGGGACCTGAGGCAGATTTTGGCTGGCTGGGATGCATCTGTGTCAGACTCTTCCTGAAAACATCCCCATTTTTTGTGAGTTTATGAATTATTTTCACAGAACCAGAAACTGGTTTGGGTTGGAAGGGACCTTAAAAATCTACTTATTCCATGCCCTGCCATGGGCAGGGACACCTTCCACTATCCCAGGTGGTTCCAAGCCCTGTCCAACCTGATCTTGGGTACTTCTAGGGATGGCACAACCAGAAATTCCCTGGAAAACCTTGCCAGGTCCTCACCACCTTCACAGGGAACAATTTCTTCCCAATATCCAACCTCAATTTCCCCTCTGTCAGTCTGACCCCACTGCCCCTTGTCCTGTCACTGCAGTTCCTGATGAAATTCCCTCTCCAGCTTCTCTGGAGCTGCTCCATGTCCTGGAAGGTGCTGTGAGGTCTCCACACAACATTTTTTCTCCTATTCTCTTCCTATTTCTCTGCTATTTTATACCAAGAGGGCAAATATCACCCCCAGAGGTGCCAGAAACTCCAATTTGAATTAATTTACCACCAGGGATGCCCTGGTTTTATTTGAGTGAACACCTTGGTGACAGGAGAGTCCCAACAATGAGGAAGAATGCCAGGAAAAGGTGAAAGGTGAGGCAAAATCCCCTGGATCCACCAGTGAACAAACAGCTCAACGCCAAGAGGTTGCAGGGTCACAAACTACGGATTTTTTATTGTTTTTTTCCAGACAGATTGAAGCAGAACAGTGATGAAAAGGGCGAAACAACCCACACACCAAGAGGAGAATGAAGAGCAGCGCCAGCGCTCACAGGAGAAACTCGCTGGGCGGCGGCTTCAGGGCACATCACAAGCGCAAGGTGAGGGAAGGCAGGAGAAGAATTGGAGTTTTGCAGCCTCTAAGCGCAGGAGGAGGAGCATTTGGGGTGCTATCCACATCCAAATCCGTATCCAAGAGGGAACGAGCCGGGTGCGTTCAGTTGCCGCCGCAGCAGCCGCCGTTGCCGCCGCCGCAGCAGCCGCCGTTGTTGTTGCTGGTGATGGTGTAGCAGCAGGGCATGGACATGCAGCAGGACTGCATGGGCATGCAGCAGGGGGTGCAGCAGGGGCTGCAGCACTGCATGGGGCTGCAGCACATCGGCCTCTTGCAGGTCTTGGGGCTGCTGTAGCAGCACATGGTGTAGCTGCTACTTCCGCCACCGCAGCATCCGTTGGGCATCTTGGCGATGGGAGTGGAGGCGAAGCTGGAAGGGAAAGAGAGAATTTGTCTTTTACTCTGCTTGAATCTGAGTCAGCTTAAAGCATTCTTATCCCCAAATCCATCCCAAACTGGCCAGGGATGTCCTGAATCCCAGGACAGACTCCTGTGCTTCTGGCTTTTTGTCCAGCACTGGTTCTGCCAGAGAGATTCCACCTCAAAATCAATCTCTGGTCCCCAAAACCAATCTGCGATCCCAAATCTTCTGCAGTGTCCAGTCCCAAACCAGACTGCCCAGAAAATCCTGGAGAAGCCCAGGGAAACAGAGTCCCAAAGTAAAGGCAAGTAGCAAAGTCCAACTTACCCTGCTGAGCAGTGGAGGGAGGAGAGGAGAAGAGGCGATGATCGAATGAAGACCCCTGGGCTGGGGAGCCTTTTATTCGCTCCAGAGCCTCCTCCCCTGGAAATGAGGCATCCCTTGGCAATTCCGACTGGTGGATCACCCGGGGTATCCCCTCACGTGTCTTCCTCCCCCGATGTTTAATCTCTGCCTCTTTCTGTTTGCTCACCACCTCAATTGTGCCCCATAATTACTCCTCCAGAGGAACAACAGATGCAAATTTTCTAATGGATTTGCGTTAATGGGACCGGAGGGAGGGAGCTCTGAGGTATTCCCATCCCTTCCCAAGGAATCACCTTGGGACACAGGGACACTTAACAATGTGCCTGGGGGGAGCCAGGTGCTGAAGCAGTGGGACAACCATGCCTGGAACTTGGAGCTGTCATTGCTCATGTGTCCCCTCTGCCCCTGGCCAGGATATTTGGGGGCCAGTGGAAATTTTTGGTCAACGGGAATCCTTTTTTTCCTGCCTCTGTGGTCAAAGTTTAGGCTGAAATTTCCCCTCTCTCAGTCTTTGCTCTTGGGCCTCCCTTTGGGGTGCTGGGTTCTCACACTCCCTGTTTTGTAATTTTTATTGTATTATTATGATTTTTTTCATTTTTATTCCTGCAATGGTTAAGTTGAGTCTAAATGAAGGGGTTTTCAAAGCAGCAGTGCACACAGGAGGGTTTTCCCCTGTGTTTGTTCCACACATCCCATTTTCTGAGGTTATCCCAAAGGTTTCTGGGACTGAGGAGACTTGTGCTGATCACGTTTGAGTGATCACAGGAGGAACTGTGGCCACATGCAGAGCAGGGAATCTCCACGTTGGAAGACGTTGATGACGTTTCCACGTGATGAGAGGGACCTCCAGTAAAAAATGGGAATTCCAGGATGCTGAGGCGGCACCAATTCATGGCAAAAAGAGGCTGCCATCACATCCAGGAGACTCTGACTGTGAGGCTGACGTGGTGGCAGGTGATCCCTGGTGACTGGGACAGGATCTGCCTTTCCAGGATGTGACCATGACCTCCTGTGACGTCGGGTGTCCCCTCTGGAATTGTCCCCAGGGGAGCATTGTTTTGGTCACTCAATAATAACCAAGAGTTGCCTGCAGGAAGCAACGTCCTCCTTGTGTAAACCCTCAAACATCTCCCTTAAATCAATCATTCATCGCATTTTTATCAGGTTTTATTGTTGTCCTGTTGGCCAAGATGATCCCGGTGTTGTAGTCATGGAAATATGGAACAATTTAGGTTGGAAGAAACCCCAAAGATCATCCAGTCCAACCCTCCTGTGTGGGCAGGGACACCTTCCACTATCCCAAGTTGCTTCACACCCTGTCCAGCCTTGGACACTTCCAGGGACTGGGCACCCATGGAATACCCTGTGCCAGGGCATCACCACCCTTGCAGGGAAGGATTTCTTCTCAATATCCCATTTCAACCTGCCTCATCTCCAGGCTGAACCTCCCCACCACTGCCAGTATTTCCAGCATTTTCCCTGATGTTCAACGCTATTTAACCTGCACTTGGGTCAGAAATAACATCTACACAAAGTTCCTTTTTTGGGCCACGCCCCATCCTGTGACGTCTTTGGAACATCCATGGTGGTTCTGTGAGTTTGAGACCTTCATGAATCTGTCCCTGCAGCTTCTCCAGTGTAGGGTAAGGCCACCTGTGATGGAGCTCTTGTCTATCTGGAGATGTCCCTGTCCATGGCGTGTTGGAATGAGATGGTTTTTGACATCCCTTCCAACCCAACCTGTCCCATGATTCTGTGGTTCAAGGATGGAATGAATATTCACAAGATTCCCTAAACAAAAAGAGCTTTATAAAACATTCTGATCTGGCACATCCTTCTGCCTGCGCATTGTGCCTGATTTACAATAAATAAAAACCCTCCTGAAGAACCCAACAGTGTTTTCAGAGAGTCAAACACATAGAGAAGATGATTTTAATGCAGATGTGTGAAGGTTGGAGGAAGCAAATCAAGCCAGAGCTCCAGGCATTTTCTCCAGACCTGCAATTCCGAGCTGAGTCCTGAATTTTAATAGCAAAGAAAGTCCCAGCCAGGGAGGGAAGGTATTGTTGACTCACGGGTTTGCTATTTTAGGAATGAGGCTTTTAGGTTGGATGCCAACCCCGGGTTTCATTCCCGGGCTCACAGTCCAGGAATACGTGGGGGAAACGCTCTGCTCCCGTAAAAATCGTTCAAGGATTTCAAGGGGTTTTATTTCTGGAAGATGGTGGTGGGAAGAAGATGCTGCCTGCTGTCCAGTGAGTAGTGAATTCCTATTGGAATACCCCTTCAAGGTCAGGGGTGAGCTCCTGTGCATCTCACATCTGTCCACAACTTCCTCCTGAGGGGCAGCTCCCATCTCTGCTCTGGGACCAGGGGCAGGACCTGAGGGAATGGCTGGAGCTGTGCCAGGGAGGGTCTAGGTTGGATATTTCTGGAAAGTTCTTCCCCCAGAGGGTGGTGGGGCACTGCCCAGGCTCCCCAGGGAATGGGCTCGGCCACGAAGCCGCCAGAGCTCCGGGAGTGTTTGGATAACGCATCTCAGGGTGGGATTTTGGGGTGTCTGTGGAGGGGCAGGAGTTGGACTCCATGATCCTGATGGACCTTTTCCAAGTCAGGATATTTGCGGAGTCTCTGATTTATGGAGTGCTGTGGTTTCAGGTGGTGCTCGGTCCTCGCCCTTTGAGTTTTAATTACTTCAGCTTTCCGTTTGGTAGTAAAATCTGAGCTGAGGTGAACGACCAGGAGGGGCAAGAAGGAATCAAGGAATGTTTTGGGCTGGAAAGGACTTTAAAGCTCATCCCATTCCTCCCCTTGCCATGAGACACCTCCCACTGTCCCAGGCTGCTCCAAACCCTCCAACCTGGATCCAGGGGCACCCACAGCTCCTCTGGGCACCCATTCCAGAGGATCAGGAATGCTCCGCTTGCTTCAGATGTGACTTAATTTGTGCCAAGAGCCTGGACAGCTCTTTGTGTCCCAACTGCTCTGCTGTGCCACCGGGACACACCCAGACCTTGGCACAGATGGTGTCAGAATGAGGACAAACTCTGGGCAAGGTGACAAACTCTGGGCAAGGTGGCAAATCCTGGGCAGAGTGACAAACTCTGGGCAAAGTGGCAAATTCTGGGCAATGTGACAAATTAAGGGCAAAGCCATGTAAGAACAACCAAAAGACCAAATATTGCATTTTGCTTAATGCTAAATTTTATTGTCTACAAGTCAAGAGAGGAAATGAAGAGTGGTCACAGTGACACCAAAGGTTTCCCAAACACCAAGAGGAGAATGAACACCCCACTAATATCTAATGCCTTATACAATGGGCGATAAATTCAGGAGTACTCAAGACAGTCAATAATTAAAGACAATCGATAACTAAAGGACAGAAAGAAGCAGCAGCTTAAGCTTGGAAAGAAGAAGAAAATCGCTATGAATTGGCTCCATCACCATGAGAACCAGAAGCAAACGAGCAGCTTTTCAGCTGCTTGTGCCTCTTCCTGGAGCCCTCAGAGCCAGCTGGGGGCTCAGCAGGTCTTCCTGAGGCTGGCACAGCACTGCTGGATGGGGATGCAGGGGGTGCAGCACTTCTTCACCGGGGTGCAGCAAACCACCACGGGCTTCTTCACCACGTAGGAGCAGCAGCACCGGGACCCGCAGGGGCAGCAGCAGGGCCGTGGGACACAGCACACGGACTTCTGGCACACCTTGGTGCAGCACACGGACTGGCACGGGTTGCAGCAGGTCTGGCACGGGTCACAGCAGGGCTTCTGGCACGGGTCACAGCAGGTCTGGCACGGGTCACAACAGGTCTGGCACGGGTCACAGCAGGGCTTCTGGCACGGGTCACAGCAGGTCTGGCATGGGTCACAGCAGGTCTGGCACGGATCACAGCAGGGCTTCTGGCATGGGTCACAGCAGGTCTGGCA